ATGATACGGAATTCAACACGACCGGACAGAATTCAGGCGCAGGACTAACGGCTATACGTGCTTTCCGAAGGACGGTGTTAAAACATCGCCAATTTCGTGACTCCGGGATACTACTGAGAATTTCTTGTCATAAAAAATCCAATAACGTTTTTTTCCGACATCCGACATAATTCGAAACTTTTTAGCATTAAATCCCTGACTTTAGAATGTAAAATTATTTTATTGTGCTTAGTTCTAAAATCTTTTTCTAAATTCTTAATAAAATGTAAAAGTCGACTTCTACTTTTACATTTTATTAAATGTTATTTTCTCTTACTATTTTAAGTGGACTAAGTAGTAAGTCTTCAAATTTATAAAGTATCATCCTTTATTATATTATTCAATAAAATAAGAATCATGAAAATCGGTTCCCAAATGACGAAGATAACAAAAAACTTAAAGTCAAATTGAGAACCTTCTTCTATTCTTAAAGTCGTCTAGAAAGAATCGACTTTTAATGGAACCTGACGGTAGGCTTAATGACCTTTCACATTTAACAAAGTACAAATTAAAACAAAATAAAAACCATTCTTCATAATCTAAGCTCGTAAATAATGACAAACGTCGATATGTGAACGAGCTGTGATAAAGGCTCTGATGAAAATTGGCTGGAGCCATTTGTATTTTTACGACATTGCTACGGCCTTACGTGCAAAGTGTTGATAAAAATATTTACTACCGAACCAGTAACTATGGTAAGTTCTAAATAGAGTTCACTCTAGTAGCATAGTTTTTTATTTTATTTACCGTTACAGCTAATTAAAGTCCACTGCTGAACGTAGGCCTCCCATATATTGCCTCATATAAATTATATATATTACTATATTTGCCATAGTTGCCACGCTTGGCAAGCGTGTTGACTACCGCAGTTTATTTTTATTTTTAGTCGTTATTAAGAAGACGCTGCTGCCTATCTCCTGATTTGTTTCCCTCTGTCACCTCTTAAGACACCCACGGGTTGATATGGGGTAGTTTAAAGAAAATATCGCTAAGTAAAAGAACAATTAAAATGGTGCATCAAAAAAACTATTTCAGTCTCGTAATTCAAGCTCGTAGGACCACTTTACTTGCATGTATAAGTAAAATGCAAGTTTAAATTTGATTTTAGAATTTAATTTAATAGCATTCCATCTTAGTCCTCACGGGTCACAACGCATCTACATTTTGATTTGTAATAGAGGATAGATGTAGATGTCTATGGGCTGCAGCAATCACTTACCATCAGGTGGACTGTGTGCTCGTTTGTCACCCTTATCCTATAAAAAAATATTTTCTGGAGAACCTACTACTCACATTGAATGCGGGGATCAGAAGGGGAGTTGCTGATACAAAAATTGGTAAACTTAAATTTAAGTGTTGCAAGTAATTAATACATACATACTACAAATAATTTTTAATGTTTGATAATTTATTAAACAATCATTCTTATCCGTTTTTTCTTGCTTTATACTTTCAACTACTTTTTTACTCTCTTTTTGAGATATCTAACGATTGTCATTTTTCTTTCAACATCATCACTCATACCGCCAGAATTATCAGTCTTGGTTGCTAGTAAATCTAGCCAAGCTTTCTTCCTTGCTTCAACTTCCACCCGTACATCAACATCCCATCGTAACGTATTATTTTTCTTTTCATTCTTTCTCCTACTTACACCATATATTTCGGTAGGCGTATCCACCAAATCTTTCATAACATTATACCACACAGTCTCCAAAGATATGAAAGCACCATTAAATTTTTAATAGCAATAAGACTTAAAAGTTGAAAATAATTTTATTAACAAATTACGTGTACTAGGCATTGACACGAAACATTTGATGTATTTCTGAATTAAAAAAAACCGGTCTAGTTAAGTAAATTTTTTTGGGGGGTTATCTTAAACATATACAAAATCAACATTCGAACGTCCACGTAATTTTTTTTTCAAACTGCTTTTTCTTCAATATAATTTTTTTTAAACATAAGATGGATTAAGTGTTAGAGTGTTTTCTTGATATACCGTTAATTAAATTATTGTATAAATGCAATATGATTATGACAGAGGTTTTGTTTGAACTTGACATCTTGAGAATAAAGTATTACCTAATAACGTTTAGCGTTACCTACGAAGTTACTTTTATAATATGACAGTTTTTATTTGATTAAGCATATTTTGTTTGTCTAGACGTCAAAGCGCCATTATACCTAGCATTTTGTGAAATATTTTCTAATATCTAAATTGATGATGGATGTTTTCTCTGTTTAATTTAGCTATTCTATGTCTATTTATAGAAATAATAAAATAGATTTATGCACACACTGTAGTAAAGTACATAATACATTTTGTAAAATTTTAGTATCACCTAACTCACTGTATTTACAAAAAAAAATCTAAGATTTGAATTTAGAAAAACAATTACCAACTTTGACATAGCGTTGCGACACTATAGAATAGAATAGAATAAAATAATTATTATTCAATATTGATTATTACATAATTCTTATTGAAAGTCATTTTTTATTTATTTACCATTGGTTCGGAAAATACCTCTGTCGGAGGTGTTCTTTAGCGAGGATTTGTGGTCTATCAAATCTAATGTAGTGACGGGGGCGATCCTGTACGTGTTCACAGACTGCAGACTTCCCGGAGCGTCTATTCTTCACATCAGCTATGTGTTCTTTAACGCGGGTTTTTATGGATCTTTTATAGGAGATCTATATAGGACAAACTAAAAGATCCATAAAAACCCGCGTTAAAGAACACATAGCTGATGTGAAGAATAGACGCTCCGGGAAGTCTGCAGTCTGTGAACACGTACAGGATCGCCCCCGTCACTACATTAGATTTGATAGACCACAAATCCTCGCTAAAGAACACCGATTCCTTCCAAGGATGATTCGCGAGGCTATTGAAATCAAAAAACATCCTAATTTCAATAGAGAAGATGGCTGGGTGCTACCATCTGCTTGGGATCCCATAATTAATAAAATTAAATCCCAACCCAAGCATACAACTGCAAGACTTCATGATACTGTAAGTTCATACTGCGTAGATCGGAACAAAAACAAAAATTAATAATTTTTAATCTGGAGGTAGCCGTGGTTAACTATGACATTGGGACGTCATACACCTCAGTCCCCCCCGTGACCATGGGTGCTGTAAAGTGCTTGAAACGTCGGGAAAGTAAAATAAGTTAATATACGCGATAAAATCCGTAAAATTAGTTTTATTTAAATGTGTAGTGTTCGCGTAAATATAAGAAATCATTATTATAAGCTTATGTTTGTTCCTAGTGTTTAAAGTATGCACATCCTTATTCTTATTAAAGCTATTTATGTTTTTATGTACATACATTACATTTTCATAAATATATTGCGATGCCAAAGTTAATATGTTTATTTCTTAAAATTTTTGTCTATGGTACTCTTTACAATTTAGGTTATAAATCGCCCGAACGGCTCTCTTTTGCAAAACAAATATAGCTTCAATATCAGTCGCATTACCCCATAGCAAAATTCCATAAGATATTACGCTATGAAAGTAACTAAAATACACTAATCTAGCTGTTTCAACATCTGTGAGACTTCTAACAGCTTCTTTACAGCATATGCTGCAGAACTAAGTCTGCTTGCTAATTTTGATATATGAGGGCCCCATTGAAGCTTCGCGTCAATAGTAATACTAAGAAAAACAGTGGTATCCACAAGACTCAACTCCTCCCCATTTAACAGCACATTGGTATTCGAATGTTTTACATTAGGTATTGTAAATTTAATACACTTTGTCTTATTGCCGTTTAAGAGTATATTATTGGCGTTAAACCAATGAACTAATTTCGATAGAGCATTATTTACATGTCATAATTAATTAACTGCCGTTTGAGTTTGAAACTTAAAGAGGTATCGTCAGCAAATAATACTATATCGTGATACAAGATAAGGTAAGTCATTAATATAGATTAAAAACAGGAATGGGCCAAGAATCGAGCCCTGAGGAACGCCTATTGATACTACCGATCCGGAGGAACCTTTACCATTGTTCACGACTTTTTGAGTTCTGTTACTTAAATATGAAGTAATAAGTCTAAGCGCCAAATTTTTTACACCGTAATGTTGTAGTTTTCTGATTAATGTCTCACGATGAACACAATCAAAAGCCTTGGAAAGATCACAGAAAATACCTAAACCATCTTGTGAATTCTCCCAGGCATTAAAAATATATTTCATAAGCTCAACACCGGCGTCAGACTTCGAGTGACCCCTTGTAAAACCAAATTGGTCTTTATGAAGTAATTTATTTGTATTGAAAAAAAAATTAACAATTGATCCAAAATTATTTTTTCAATAACTCAAACTCTCAAACACTGTAGTGTAATATGGAACAACGCGTATTTATGCTGGTTCTATCAGAAGGGTTACGCTTGCACCAGTATCAAGTAAAATATCAGCATACTCTGTTTTAAATTTTCCATTGCCAACTGCTATATAAACTGTAGTTAAAATATTTTTTAGTTTCTTTGATGTACACTTCAATCAGTGTCGATAACCTACAGACACAAATGGATTGTGGGAAGAGAATTAGCTAATTGTTTTTAAATTATTTAATGTCCATAGCAATGGAGAGTTCGAAATGAAACTTAATTACATGTTGATTGTTTTAACCACTTAGTATTATAACAAAATAAAAAAACTGTTTATTAATATTTAGTTTTGTTTTAATGATAACTATAGAATTAGTACAGCCGGGAATATCGGAAATATGGCAAAATCTTTTAAGAATTGCATGACAAGTCGATTAGGTGCAAACAAAATTAAAAAAAAAAAATTAGTTCATGATGAAGAAGATAGACTTGAATATTATGTAACGTCCCTTTATAGTATTTTAGAGGAAAATGAAGAGAGGCCTTTTGAAATACTGCACTTTATTAAAATGCTATGTATTAATTCGCTTGAATGTAAGTTGCGTTCTTGTAAGTTTCAAATTATTCCTTTTTGGAGCATTCTTCAAGCGGGACACATTTCTTGGTGACGGGGTCCCTAACAGTTGGAGGAGCGCAGTAGCAAGCAGAAAAGTCACAAACATGTCCACGTGTGTCTGGTTGGGGATTTGGTTCATCGCAGGTCGCCTCCTTTATCAAATAACCACATCCAGTAGTATAAGATACAGTACCCTCCTCACATTTTTTGAAACCTGCAAGTCAAAACAAGTGAATTAACTCTCTATTAACATACTGCTTTCGACAACAGATCTTCCTTTTCAATTCTAAATGGATCATCTTTTACTCTCAATGTAAATAACGAGGAGTGGGTTAATCTGTCCATAAAGCGTGAATGTGACGACGCGAGAGGAGTTTATCGAAGTAATTTTAATGTTTTGCTCGATAAAAAAATATTATTTTATTAAAATTATGATAATGACGCTGAAAGAAGAGAAAGACAAGTTACGCTGGCATATTATAGGATTATCCGAAGTCCGAAGAGAGGGGGAGGACACGGTAATCCTCGAATCCGGCAACTTGCTCTATCACCGGGAGGGCGACCATCTGTCCCAAGGAGGTGTCGGATTTATCGTACACAAGTCTCTCGTTAACAACGTTGTAAAGATTGAGAGTGTGTCGACGAGGGTTGCGTACCTTATACTCAGAATCACCAAACGGTATTCGCTGAAGGTCATACAGGTTTACGCACCAACCTCGGCACACCCCGATCAGGAGGTGGAGGAAATGTATGAGGATATCTCTAGAGCCATGCATTCCTCCAAAACCCAATATACGGTGTTAATGGGAGACTTCAATGCAAAAATAGGCACAAGAGAGAACGGTGAGCTGAAAGTAGGGAATTTCGGAATAGGGCAACGGAACCCAAGGGGCCAGCAGTTGGCTGACTTCATGGAGAAAGAGGGACTCTTTATGATGAACTCTTTCTTCCAGAAGCGGCCCCACAGGAAGTGGACCTGGTCGAGCCCCGACGGTTCGACAAAAAATGAGATTGACTTCATTATGACGACCAGACGACAACTGTTCAGTGATGTCTCAGTGATCGCGAGGGTGAAAACCGGCAGCGATCACCGAATGGTTAGAGGCACACTGAACCTAAACGTTAAGTTGGAGAGGTCTCGTCTAATGAAGTCAACGCTCCGTCCCCCTCGTGCTCTAATCCAAAGTCCCGAAACCTTTCAGCTCGAGTTACAAAACCGTTTTCAGTGCCTAGAAGACTGCAATGAAGTGGACGATTTGAATGACAAGCTCGTGGGAACTGTCCATGCGGTCGGAGCTAAGTTCTGCAAGACCCGCCGCAGAAGAACACAAAAACTCTCCGATCACACTCTTAATCTCATGGCTGTTAGACGGGAGATGAAGCTATATTCTTCAACAGATTTGACAGCATACAGGCAACTGAACAGACAGATCTCAAAATGCATGCGGCGGGACTTACGCAAATTCAATACAGCTCGTATTGAAGAAGCGATCGAGCGGAACCAAGGCTCCAAAGTCTTTGCCAAAGATCTGTCTGCCAGAAAGCGCCAACTGTCAAAGCTGAAGACAGAGTGTGGCATCATCGTCTCCGGGGCACCTGAGATTTTGAGTGAGATTGAGAGGTTGTATGGGCAGCTGTACACGTCATCGTTGGAGCCACACGCAAGTGTGAGTAGCGATCCAAGAGCGAGTCTAATCCGACATTATTCCGATGATATCCCGGACGTCAGTCTGAGCGAGATTAGAATGGCTCTCCAGCACCTTAAAAACGGCAAGGCCCCAGGCGAGGATGGAATTACAGCGGAGCTTCTGAAAGCGGGTGGAAAACCGGTACTTGAAGTCCTTCAGAAGCTCTTTAATTCCGTCCTCCATGGTGGCATTACACCGGAGGCGTGGAGCAGAAGTGCGGTGGTCTTGTTCTTCAAGAAAGGCGACAACGCACTCTTGAAGAACTACAGACCGATTTCCCTTCTGAGCCGCGTCTACGTGCTGTTTTCGAGAGTCATTACGAATCGTCTCGCGCGCAGACTTGACGACTTCCAGCCTCCCGAACAAGCCGGTTTCCGAAAAGGCTTTAGCACCATAGACCACATACATACCCTTCGGCAAATTGTACAGAAGTCCGAGGAGTACAATTTGCCATTATGTCTGGCGTATGTGGACTATGAGAAAGCCTTTGATTCCGTCGAAATTTGGGCGGTGCTGCAGTCCCTTCAGCGATGCCAAGTTGACTGTCGGTATATCGAAGTGTTGAAGTGCTTGTACACTAGGGCTACGATGGCTATCCGAGTACAGAACCAGAGTACGAAACCTATCCAATTGCAGAGAGGTGTAAGACAGGGTGACGTCATATCCCCGAAACTCTTTACCGCTGCATTGGAAGATGTTTTCAAGCTTCTGGACTGGAAAGGATACGGTATCAACATCAATGGCGAGTACATCACTCACCTTCGATTTGCCGACGATATAGTCCTTATGGCAGAATCGCTGGAGGACCTAAGCACTATGCTCAATGACCTCAATAGTGTTTCCCAACGGATAGGTCTTAAGATGAACATGGACAAAACAAAGATCATGTTTAATGTCCATGTCACACCTATGCCGGTAGTTGTTGGGAACACTAAGCTCGAAGTTGTTGACGAGTATGTTTACCTGGGACATACAGTCCGATTAGGTAAGTCCAACTTCGACCGAGAGGTCAATCGACGGATTCAACTCGGTTGGGCAGCGTTCGGGAAATTACGGCACATCTTCTCGTCAGGTATACCTCAAAACTTGAAAACGAGACTGTACACCCAGTGCGTGTTGCCAGTGATGACATACGGAACTGAGACGTGGTCCTTCACTGCTGGCCGGATGAGGAAGCTCAAGGTCGCTCAGCGAGCTATGGAGAGGGCTATGCTCGGAGTTTCTCTGCGTGATAAACTCAGAAATGAGGATATCCGCAGTAGAACTAGAGTGACCGACATAGCCCAACGGATTAGTAAGCTGAAATGGCAATGGGCCGGCCATATAGCTCGAAGAACCGACAACCGATGGGGAAGAAAGGTTCTCGAGTGGCAGCCTCGTACCGGCAGGCGAAGTGTAGGGCGTCCCCCCACTAGATGGAGTGACGACCTGGTAAGATATGCAGGAAGTCGATGGATGCAGGTGGCTCAGGACCGTGCTTTGTGGCATTCTTTGGGGGAGGCCTATGTTCAGCAGTGGACTTGTGAAGGGCTGTAATGATGAATGACGCTGAAATCCAAAACGGAGACCACGTAAGCCCCATCCATTAGGAGAGTAAAACCGTATCTAGCCAATACATTACTGTGGTTACTAAAAACGAAGTTGTTTTTGGTTTTAGAGCACAGGGGCATACAATAACAAGAAATAACTTGTATTAAAAAGTGAAAGCCGACTTCAAATAACTAAATTAACTTCCAATAAATAAAATAATTTCACATTCTAAAGTCAGTACTCGGACGATACAGATTTGGCGGATGGGGACTAAGCGACAAATAGTGTAAGATTTTTCCGTCACGAACCGAACTTCTGACGTAGTGTAGACGGCCTAGGTTACTATAAGGGAGCGTGATGGAATAATATCCACCTGCCTCACACTTTTTCTTATCTTGCCATGAAATAAATATTATTTTATTATAAACTAGCTGTGCCCGCGGCGTAGCTCGCGTATATAGATTTTACATAAAGAATTTGTCGTTTAGGTAAGAGAATATTAAACGATTTATATCATTACTGTATCAATAAGTGGTAACAAATAAATCATTATCATCAAAGTTCTAAGTAGTTTATGATAGAGCTTCGGTGTAAACGACGTTAGAAGTAGGCTTAGCCGGGGTGTACACAAAAAGGTTACAGGGGCTACTAACGCGGGAAAAAGCAACATAGAGTTGGCCATGTGCAAAACAGTCAGTACTGAGGTCCACTCTTACAACGCGTAAATTTTGACCTTGCACTTTATTTACGGTCATCGCATAACACACGCTGACTGTAACTGGGAACTGAACACGCTTAAAACTGAAGGGAAAGTTACTTCTTAATAGAGGGTTTTATGGCAGTGCTGCCAGATCAAAAAAACTCATTCAGCGCTAGGACAACACAAAAAGCGCTAGATTTCATGAAAACAGCGCTTTAAAAAAGCCCTAGATTTTGCGCTAAATTAACTACAAACAAAGTTTGTGTTTTTTATTATAATTTATAATTCAAGAAAATATAATCATAATAAAGAAAACAACATTAAGTTTTTTTCTGGCAATATTTTTTGATGTATCAATACTTCGCAGGACATCGACTTATAATTATGGCAATTGCTGTCAACAGTAGTTAGTACTACTCTAAGTAACTTTTAACTTAGCTGTGCTCTAAACAACTGACTAAAACTGAAGAAAGCAAAATAAATGCGTTGCCAAAACCATGAACGAAAACTTTAATGAAGGGGATTTCCCCGCTTATAGTCGTCGATAAAAAAAATCAAGTTGATCATCCTAAAGGGGAAGCCGGGAGATCCATAGCACAGGGTATCCTAGTTTGGACTCGTCTCCCATGCTCTTTGTTTTGTGGAAAAAATATGTTTGAAAAAGATAAACTGCAATGTACTATTTGTGGAAAAAAATAATAAAGGTCATTATTATTATTATCGGTAATGTGGACTAACAGTGCTGCTATAAAAGAGTTAATAACCCGCTAGTCGCTACAATTTTGAAATTTGTGCTAAATACACCAAAAAGCGCTGGGTTAAGTGCTAGGTGCTAAAATTTCGAAATGCGCACTATACATTCCAAAACAGCGCTAAATCTAGTTCCCAAAGCGCTAAAATGGCAGTACTGATTTTGCGTATATTATAAATACAATATCACGACATTTCGTTGCAATTTTGTTATTTTTGTTCGGGTTCCGTTGTATGGCTTCGATAGATACTAATTTCTTCAGTAATTCTCAATACGATTCATCGGCGAAAAATCTCAACACAGCAAATCAGAAAAGTTTGTAATTTGTATAACTCCATCTATTACGTCCTTTGTGTGAGAAAACATCCTTTTTTAAATCTCTTTTTATGTTTTAAGTATAAATATATTAATTATTATGGAACGTTTTTTTACACACAAATCTTTTTATTACTATTTTTGTGATTTTTATGGCGCCATTGAACAAATTCGAACCTACATTTTAAAATAATAATCATTACTTTCGATAGAATTAACCAATTTTAATAAAACAAAGATTAAATGTAACTTGAAGATACGCTTTATGATTTTCTTAACGATTTCTTTGAAAAAAAAAAAGATGTTTACTTTAGACGTGATGCATTCATATAAAAACAGACAAACAGACAGACAGACAATTCTAAAAATTATAAAAATGTACTTATTTAATTATTTTTAGTTCCCCATAATGATTTTAGTCACCAAAATAAATATACAATGTACAGAAAGAGACACAACATGTTATCATCATTTTTATTATATGTATATATTTAATTGAAGAGAGATGGCGCTGCTAACATCAACTTGATGACTCAAACAAAGCCACCGTTGAGCAAATTCCCTACCCATACTTCAGAATATTTATCATAACTTTTGATGGAATGAACCGATTTTAATGAAATAAAGACTAAATGTAACCCGAAGATACACTTTATAATTTTCTTGACAATTCTTATGATATAAATTAGTACTTTAAACGTGATACGTTAACAAACAAACAGACAGACAGACAGACAGACAGAAAATTCTAAAAATGGTAGAAATGTATTTAATTACTTATTTTTAGTACCCCTCAATCACTTTTATTACAAAAATATAAAATGTACAGACATCTGCTATTTACAGTTTTATTATATGTATAGATGACGCTTCATTTTAATAGACGCTAGTAATTTATTTATATGTATTTGTTAATCAATAATATAATACGTTTAATAATATGAAAGGAACTTCGTTCCAACCGAGTGTTCCACGACACTCACGCATGTTTTTTATATTTGGAGCTTTTAGTTTTTATCAAATCACTTTTTACGCCTTTAAGTGGACTAATAATTATCAGTATCTCAAAGTCATCTTAATAGTCACAATAAAACTTCGTCCCCTATTTTGAGACAGAGGTGATTTTTTTTTTCTCCAAATTTATATGGGTCCGCCGCTGAATCTATTTAATTGAAAAATCTAATTTGGTTCGCTTGACTCTAAATTGACGAAGATAACGATGGAATGTCTCCGTCTAGAACAACTTTTCTGTTCACTATTGAGAACCGTGACGATAATTTATTAACATACTTAAAACTAATTAAATTAATTGATTCTTAATATATTTCTCAAGCGACAAATGGATTAGTAAGCTGAAGTAGCAAAGGACCTGCCATATAGCTCAAAGTACAACCGATTGGGAAGAAAGGTTCTCGAGTGGCAGCCTCCAGTAGGCGAAGTGTAGGACGGCGCGTCGCTTGATGGAGTGACGACCTGGTAAGTTATGCAAGAAGTAGATGGATGCAGGTGGCTCAGGACAGTGCTTTGTGGCATTCCTTGGGAGAGGCCTATGTTCAGATATATACTTTTGATGTAATTATGATAATAATGATTATATCTCACAATTTTTTTATAGAAGAGGGGGCAAACGACCATGCCGCTCACCCGATGGTAAGTGACTATCTTAACTACAAATGCATTTAGGATAGCAAAAAAGTTTTATCCTCCTTCATATTCATCACAGCGTAAAAGTCTAAGGCTAGAATATTAGCCACTCCGGCATTAGACAGAATTTTGCGCACAGTATTTTTTTAATAAGCAAGCTATTTCCTTTAATCTAGTTTCCATCAAGTGGAGTGTGTGCTCGTTTGTCAAATTTACTTCTATAAAAAATCTATAAATGCAATAATAGTAATGGTTTCAAAAATTTTATAGATTTGCTTCTCAAATATACTTGTGTTAGATTCTAGACAAACAAACCGAATTAATAAGGTTTTAATAAACGTACATCAATAAAATCGATTTTAAACATAAAAAGACAAATTATACTCGTATGCTGCTTTTTAATTAATACTAAGACATATACCTAAGATTAAAACTGTTGGTTACTTACACTTTCCATTAACGTATATACATCCCCGTGATTCTTCGACACTAATAACCAAAATAGCCAATAACACGAAACAAGCTACAGATTTCATTTTAATAGTTTTATTTCCTATTTAATTAAATCTACTTCTATCTCAGGATTATGAAACAAAACTGGACGCAAATACTTAAATAGGTCGCTTATATCTAAGGTCATAAGTAGAATCACGTTTTAATATGCACACGGCGATTAATGTGAACAGGTTCGTAATGATTATGTAGTGATGGAGGTCAATGATCTTAGATTTAAATTATATAAATCAAGACCAGGTCTTGAGATATTTATAATCATGACTATGATTTATAAATTTGCTTAAATTAGTCGTAATATATTGAACATATTATAAAGATCATGTTGACCATAATATTGTTTCACCTATAGATAACCCATTAACTTATCGCTTCCCGTAGGTACCGTAAAGTCAACTCTTAGAAATACTAGGAGGACTGCACAGCTAAAATAGATGGCGATAAAACCATTACGCAGACTATCGACTAAAAGTAGTGTTTAGGATGCAGGACTACTTTTATTATAAAAAATTGTCAGATGAACCTACAGTCCACCTGATGATTAGTGGTTACTGGTGCCCATGGACGCCTGGAGCCGCCTTAAAACAAAGAAAGCTACAGATGCGTTATCACGTCTGAGGACTAAGATGGAATGCCTCACAGCCTTTAGCTATACTAGCTTTTTTATAGGATAGTGTGAAAAACGAGCACACAGTCCACCTGATGGTAAGTGTTTGCTGTGCCCATAGACATCTACACCTATCCTCTTTTGCGAATCAAAATACAGATGTGTTGTCGCCCATAAGGACTAAGATAGAATGCCTCTTTTCCAGTAAAAATACTTTCCGATTCTCTACACTCACCATATGAAACACAGCAGTGTTAAGCTTTCTACTTTACGCTGGTATTCTGTGAGAGCGTGGTCCTTCCTCGGTCGAGACGACCCAGTCGAGCTACAACTATACTACGAATATAGCTGCAGCATGCCTCTATAACGTATAATATTATATCTATTTGTATAATTTGAAGTGGAAGACAGCAGTGCACGCACTACTCTTTTCCAAAAGAAACAGGTAATGGGGTGATATAATCCAAGGCAGACTAAAAGGAGAAAAAGAGTTTTACAACTTTGTGTCGAATCCAGACTACCAAACGTGACTACCAAAATCCTGTATATGTGCAGCTCAAGTCTTGTAGTGGTCTATATCTTACCCGATATACATGGAGGATATAATTTAGTGAAATATATTGAATATATATATATATATATATATATATATATATATATATACATATACATATATATATAATTTCAAAGAAATCCTATTTTTGATTACAATTTTACAAAAAAAAAGTTCTTATACTTTGTCTGGTATCTTTTATAATTTTGACGCAATATCGATTTTCTACATTCTCTACCGACTTTAAAAAGATTGTACTGTACTGTACGTTTTACTAGGAGTTTTCTACCGCATACGACCTCTCTGTGGAAAAATTTACCACCTGCGATTTTTCCGGACCGATTACGACTTAGGGACTTTCAAGAAAAGAGCTTACTCCTTTTTAAAAGGCCGGCAACGTACCTGCAATTCCTTTGGTATTGTAGTTGTTCATGGGCGGCGGTGCTGACTTACCATCAGGTGAGCCGTACGCTCGTTAGCCCCCTCTCCTATAAATAAAAAAGGAGACGGTACTCAATTCGACTGTATGTTTTTTATGTGTGTTACCTCATAACTTTTTACTGGATGAACCTATTTCAATGATTCTTTTTTATTTGAAAGCTGATGATTCACATTCTGGATCAAAGTCTAATGAATAGTTTTTGAGTTATCCTGAATAATTTATATTGAAGTCAGTTGTACAAAGTGTTTAATTTTTACAAATTTTTCTAATCATCTCTGTTTTATTACAAAACTATAAAGGTAAAAATAGATCTGTAATTATTATCTCAAAAAATTCCCATATCGCATATAATTTTTGAGATTTAGCAAAACACCGAGTTAAAAGTGAGTTTTCCTTACATGAACTATCCCAAAGAACGCTATTATAGAACTGTAGGTTTTTTGTTCAGAGGTATTACATGGATGAAGTAGCGGGTAAGAGCAAGTCTAATATACAAGGCCCATCACTACTTTGAACAGGTTCGGTTCTTCTAGCTTATTATGTCTTCTCACATTTTTATTTTCATGTACATTACGTATAACAAAGATATTATATAATATCATTGACGTATAAAATTAAAATGTAGTTGATGGTTATAATCACCGTTAACTACGTTTTAATTTTTTTTAATCCTGATTATATTTATACTAGATATTAAATGTGTAAATGATAGTGGCAATTAAATAATATGACAAAAATGTATTATTTGAATCATGTATTATTTTGTTTAATTTATTGTATTCTTTTGTTTAATGCACGATGCATAAATAATTATAAAAGTAAACTTAAAATAAATTATATTTCTTGGCAATGAATATAGAACAAAATTAAGCTATGACTATATTATAGCATTGACTGTTAGACGAATGGTAATAAGTAACATTAAAAATAAATATATATCAACTCAACCAGGGAAGAACCATGCTCACACAGAATAACAGTGCAAAGAAGCAGCTTAGTGTTGCTTTGTTTTGTATGGTAAGTATAAAAAATTGGAGAGCCTCATTTCTGGTAACGACGAATTCTTTATTAGTCCTCTGGGGTGACAACGTACCTACTTTCGCAACCTTAATCGTGGAAGGAGATAGATGGGCCACAACATCTGTTACGGCCTACGGCTGCTCCCTTAAAGGTCAAATCCTCAGGGGCCCATTCAGCTGAATTTCGACGAGCAGACGTAGGTCGGGCCTCCTCCAGGCTAAAGTGGAATTTCACTAATTACACTAAACTATATGGGGGAGCATTCTATACTACGGCCAGTCGACCGGGAGGATGTTAGACGGAGCTTAATTACCTATATCCAAGGCGACTGGTCCCTCCGGAGTCGGTCAGGTCACATGTGGTTGTGTAGTGCAAGGGAAATAAGGTGATGTGATGTGTATCTGGGTGTGACTGAGGGTGATTGACCCGAGTAAACCTTGGCCGTCGGCAGTAGCCCGGGTGTCGACACCGCTCCAAATTGAGGGAACCTTCCGCGGCGTTGTCCACAATCACTTTCTTCGTTCGTCACGATGACAGTCCATTAACTCTATCGTACTATTAACTAACTTACAGAAGCCACTAACTATCGCGGGGTATAAGGTTAACGCACAAAACGCACACGGAGTGTCCGGATCAAAGGTCACTACCGTTTCGCGTAGCAACAGTTATCTATAGAATATCAAAGGCCGCACTAGCTAATATTGCCGAATGCACTTATACAGATTCTGAGTCAGACACAATGAGTCCCTGGGAAGCTCTCCAGCAGGAATGCGCGTTCACAAATCCTAGACCGTATGTTTACTGTCCGCGCCTAATTATTCCGAGTTCCCGACAAAAATGACAGCGTGCTGTTCCAAGCACAGCTGACAGACGACTCCACTTCATCTTTACGCGTTCTCAACCCCACCGCTCGAGCGACGTCAAAACCGGTATGGCACCGAGCGTCGCGCCCCCTAGACGTCGATTTCGACAACAGCGTTTGGCGCGAACAGCATCTACTTACTATCAAGTGTCACCCTTATTCTAAATAAAAGCATTCGTATTAGCTAATTGATTTTAATTTATTTAATATTCATAGCAATGGAAAGTTTGAAATGAAACTTTGGTAGTTGTAATTTGATTGTTGTAAACACTTAGTATTTTAACAAAATCGAAAAATATAAACAGAAACTGTTTTATGCAATATAAATTAAAAATAATACTTCTTGAAAGTAACTCTTTTGTTTAATTTACCACTCCTTTAGAAAAAAATCTCTGTCCTGGGAAGAACTAGCACGAAACCTAGCGGAACATTTAAAAAATACAGCTCATTATCACATATGTGAGGTACACAATTAACTACACAGCTTTGTAGGGATTACCTCATTCCCAGGGATAAATATTATCCATAAATGCCTTAGTATTACAATAACTCTTTTATACAAACATTGTTTATTAAAGGTTTTGAACTTTAAGATGGTCAGATTTTGTATATTTTGTGGGATTTTGTTGTAAAAGCGTATACATCGCCTCAAGAATCAATTTGTAATATTCATTCTGTAAATAACAGGCTTGTGTCTGCCTAGTATTTACAGAATGAATAATACAATTTTTTTTAACTCCTTTAATGCCCGTGTACATACATTATATTTTCGTAAATGTATTGAGAGGTCAAGGTTAATATATAAATTTCCTTAAATTTTTGTCTGAGTGACTCTTTAGGTTTTAACTGAAAGTTTGCTCTTATGGCCACTTCTGTAAAATAAACATAATTTAAGTGTCAGTCGCGTGTCCACATAGAAAAATAAATACCATACGACATTATGCTATGGAAATAGCTTAAGTAAACTGGTCAAGCTGTTTCAACACGGGTAAGATTTCTAATTTTTTTTACAGCATATACCTAATGCAGAAATAAATCCGCTTAGTAGATTTGATATATGGGGGCCCAATTATAGCTTCGCGACTAGCGTGATTTTAAGAAAAATGATGGTATCGACAAGACTCAGCCCCTCCCCATTTAAAATTCCATTGGTATTTAGATGTTTGATATTTAGAGTTATGAATTTCATACATTTAGTTTATAGTGTCATTTAAATGCAAATTATTAACATTAAACCAATTTACTAATTTAGATATAGCATTATTTATTTCGTCACATTTTAGTAATCATCGTTTCAATTTGTAATAATACTATATGTTTTAAAAATTACTATATTATGGTTATCCCCTACTATGAAATATAAGTCATTAATATAGTTTGGAAAATTAGAAAGTGCACGCCTTATGGGCGTTTAATTTCATTTCAAATAAATTGTAATCCTGATTTTTATCACATATTATTTACGAGTTATAGTTTTAACGCTCTATTATTTTAACAGGTAGTTTCACCTTTTGTACTTTGTGTAATTGATTTACCAAAATAAATTGATTACACAAAGTGCAAAATCGATTAAGGATGTATGGTACGTTTGTTCTTTGTATATAAGGGCTAAAAAAATATGAAAGCGCCATTAATTCTTTAAAAGCAATGAAACTTATAAAAGTAAAAAATCATTTTATTAACAAAACTACGCGTAAGCTATTGATATGAAATACCAGTTGATATAACCCTGAAGCTAAAAAAAAATCCGGTCTCGATACGTCAATTTTTTCGGGAGTTATCGTGACCACATACACAATCAACATCCGGAAGTCCATGTAAAGATTTTTTTAAATGTTTTTTTTTTTTCAAAGTAGCAATATAAAATTATTTTTAAGAAAATATAAGATGGATTAATTAGTGTTTTCTTGATATAAGGCTTCTCATACTATCGTATAAGTGCATTATGGTTATGATTTTCACCTTGACCTTGATGTGTCGAGATTAAAGCATTACCTAATAATGCTTAGCGTCACGAAGCGTACAAAAGTAATTGGAAACATATTTATTTATTTAATTAAAATTAAAAACTATAATAATAAAAAAAAACTAAATCTAGAAACTTAATTATCATATAGTCCTAATCCCCGCGGTATCGTGCCAAGAGCGCTGGCTGCGTTTCCCCGCTGAATGGCTATACTTAGCCTTTGAGCGAGAAAAGAACCAGCCCTCTTATCACTAGCAGCGACGACCAGCCGCGGATGGAGTTCCTTTAAAAACTTCACCGCACGTGGACCCCACGGACCGATAGTCTCTACTGCAAATGGCACAAATATATAGTCATCTCTCAGAGACTCATATCTGCGCCACTTACTCAGTTCAGCTGTCTCTGATGCCGCCCTGGCTCTAAACGAGGTACCCCTGAGATGAGAGGCTGCCAGAGTGTCTACGCAAGTAGCATCCCACACTAGGGCTTTACCTCTCTCCCAAGGGACCAATGTCATACCGTCGGGTCTCCTGCCATCGTCTCTAAATATTCCACAAGGCTCTAAAACCGAGAGAACATTTATAGAGACAAGAGCCCTTCGGATGACATCGTTCAAAGAACTGTGTCGTGAAAATCTATTAGCGCTTATCTTACTTGAAAGTCCGTGGAGCACAAACTTGTTGACGTTGCTACCACAGGAGCACTGATGGGGTTGACAAAGTGCCGCTCGTAATCGGATTCCTACGGCGATGCGCAAGCTTTCTCCGTCAAGTAATGTGCCGAGATTACTTGATGGTAAAGCGTGTAACCAGTGACTAGATTCCTTAGTCGAAACAGCTAGAAGGCATGCCTTATCTTGGTCACTATGGAAATAATGAAACAAACCTTTCTGCACGCCCCGTACCAATGGAATATCCCCCTGTTTTTGTTGGTTAACTTCCAGCGGAACATTTTCACAGGGACAGAGCGTTTGCCATGTCTGCCCTGCCTCCGTAGCAAAGCATAGGTCTACTTTATTATTTAAAATTATGTTACATAAGTCACTCACACTATGCACGGAAGCAAGGAAAGCAGGCAAAGCAACGCTAGAAAGATTTCTCTCACCAATGCCACCAAATGTAATAGGTAAATTAGCTTGAGTCGAGGCTGTTGTATTTAAAGTTAAATTTAGAATTTTTGCTATAGCTATTTTAAGTTTATTATCAATATCTTTTAAAATATCCGAACATTTCCAGACTGGAAACGAGCGATATAAGTATGTAAATCTAGGTAAAAGGAGACAATATTTTAAAATAGTAAGAGCCATGTGGGGGTTCAAATTATATAATTTATCAACGTGGTTTAAAAACTGATCAAATTTTGTTTTTAAAACAGATTTAATACTATCGAAAAACAACAGGGCACCTAGCAGGTATAGTGATTCCGTACTGACAGTTTTTATTCCTGGAGAAACATGATTAAAATTTTGAATAAAAGTGTCTCTATGAGAAGTAGATAAATTATTGGAAAAAAATATTTCACATTTATTGCTATTTGGTTCAAGACCAATATTTTTAAAATTTAGAAAAATATGAGTAAGATCACTGAGGACGTCATCTGCTCTACCTCCCATTGTATCGTCGTCCAGGTACCAGACATTTAGCTTGGATTTCAAATTTGAAATAATGGGTTGAATTCCCAAACTGAAAAGTGCTGGACCTAGTGGGTCATCCTGCTGAACACCGACAGCAGAATCGATAACATGGTTTTTGTAAAACAAGTTAGTATTTTGACTATAACATTGCCAAACGTAATGATAAATTTCGGGGGTATTGTTAGCCACTTCTTTCAGCAAGGTTACCCTTTCAATAGAGTTAAAAGCATTCCTTAGGTCAACGTTCACAAGAACATCTGCATGAGAGTTTGTTAAAAATGTACGCACTGAATGTTGGAAATCATTGAGGTAATATGTTACTACGTAACTAGTAACATATTATCTCAATGTTGGAAATATAACATTACTTATATTATATGACAGTCTTTATTTGATTAGGCATATTTTGTCAAACGCTTCGCGTTATGAGGCGTGCAATATACAAGATACAGAAAGTGGCCGAGAATTGACCCCTGAGGCACAATCGACCCAAAAGAGCTCATACTATTAATGACAACATTTTCCTTTCTGTTACTTAAATATGAAATAATAAATTTAAGAGTATTACTTCTTGCACCGTAGTGTTGACGCTTCCTGATTAATGTATAACAGTGAACACCATCAAACGCTTGGAATAGGTCACATTATATACCCAAAGCATCCTGTGAATTCTTCCATGCATTGAAGATATATTAAATCAGCTCAACAATAGTATCAGTTGTAGATTTTTATGAAGTAAATTATTTACATACGAAATTAACGTTTGAATAAGAATTTGCATGTTTTTACCTCTCTTCAAGTCATCACCTATAATTATAATAGCACCTTAAACATTTCAAACCGAATATGTAGTCCTATTTGCAGCGATGTAATGTTTATTATGTTGGTGTTCAAACAAATAAATCAATAAAGAATACTTTTTTAACAGTACAGAAATAAGTCTAAAAATAAAGAACGGTAAATTAGTATTTAGTTTTAGTGGTTATTATAGAACATATAAAAAGTCGAGAATATCGGCAGTTTGGCAAAATATTTAAAGAATTGCATGCCAAGTCAAGTAGGTTTCAAAAAACTTAGTTCATGATGAAGAACTTAAACTTAATGTAACGTTTTCTCTTCTCTATTCATTTTTCTCTAAACTAATTTGTGGGGCATATTGGTTTAGAAACACATTAAAAGAATGCATTTTATAAATGCCTTGTAGTTTAAAATGTCGCGTTCTTGTAAGTTTCAACAATTATTCCTTTTTGGTGCACTCTTCAAGCGGGACACATTTCTTGGTTACAGGGTCCCTAACAGTAGGCGGAGCGCAGTAGCAAGCAGAAAAGTCACAAATCTTTCCACGCGTGTCTGGTTGGGGATTCGGTTCATCGCAGCTCGCCTCCTTTGTCAAATAACCACATCCAGTAGTATAAGCTTGAGTACCCTCTTCACATTCTCTAGAACCTGCAAGTCAATTGATTTTAAACAATGTTTTCTTTCGAATAAAATGGCATTGTAAACTCTGGGTACGTAAGGAAGACGCCAGATGGCATAAATACGGCTAATATAAATCAGTAACGTCGTGGATTGTTTTGAATGGACTGTTATATGATAATTTTATTCAATGTGGTTAATTTTATTTATTTAACAAATTTGTTAAATTTTTAACTATGTATTTCAACAGATAAAATATATATGTACCATCTTTACTATACAGTATATTATTATCTATGGCCCGGAGTGAGACAGGCAAAGTGTGTTTAGTAAAATAACACAAGAAAAAAAAACTCGGCACATCTAGTTCTCCTCTTCGAGGAGTTCCAGTAACAGTCATTAAAGTACACTTTCAAGTCACTCCGTCAAGTCCGGAGGTAAGGTTAACGTAACTAACAATTTGAGCCCAAACTTGGCACATCTAGTTTTCCTCGTCGTGGAGTTTCAGTAGCAGACACCGACACACCTTCAGGTCTATAAAGTCCAAGACGTATAAGTATATATATATATATAAATCCTGCGTGCTTTTAGCAAAACAAAATATTGTTATAAAAATCTGTGATTATAAAAATAATAATAATATCTTATATATATTATAATAATACCTTGGTCAAGTATGTATCAAATTTGGCATATTTTGAAATATTTTGTATTTCTACGGCGATCGATATTTTTCAGCCCGAGCCGCTGTAACAAACAACCACTCAAGACTAAGTAAAGTACTCTGTGGCTTGGAGTGCGGCTTCGGCCTAGTTAGTAAAATAAATTAATACAAGGCTGCTAAAACCTTCAAAAATTTCGCCATTTTAGAGCCGAAAAAAATTAAACGGCGTAAACAGAATAGAAGTTATCGTGTTTACGCCGCCATGCGGACTTGATAAATCCACACCATAAGCCATTAAAACCCCTTTTTTATGTAAAAATAGTAATTAATCGATTTAAAAAAATATATAAGATAATAAGTTCAACAATTAAGTATAATTCCGCCTCCAGGTCCTTCAAATGCGTCATTGCCATGGCAAGGTCTGAGCGCATCAGCAGAATTGGCGAGAAGCTTCAAGAAAAGAGCTTACACCTTTCTAAAAGGCCGACAACGCATGTGCAATTCCCCTGGTGTTGCGGTTGTTCATGGGCGGCGGTAGTCACTTACCATCAGGTGAGCCGCATGCTCGTTTGCCCCCTCTTCTATAAAAAAAATCATTTAATTTTCTGACAATGTGCTTTTTTATATAATTTATATGTATAATATGATTGTTACACCATGCGACAAAACGTTGGAGTCTTAATTTTTAGGCCCTAGCAAAACATACCTGCGCGCTTCGCACTTAAGGTATGCAATATCTTTTGATGTTATTTTATGAAATGTAAAATTCTTTTGTACACTCATTTATATTTTGTTTAAGTAATGATTCGGCGACAGGAGGAGAAGAATTCAGTGACTTAGTGGTTAAAATCAGTTTATTACTTACACTTTCCCAGAATGTATATACATCCCCGTGAATGTGGAAGGGGATCACAAAGTGCCACACCGACAACTGCTAACAGCACGAAACAAACTACAGATTCCATTTTAATAGTTTTATTTTCTTATTTAAATTAAACAACTCCTATCTAAGGATTATCAAACAAAACTAAACGAAAATACTTAAATAGGTTGCTTATATTTAAGGTCATAAATAGAATTATGTTTTGATATGTACACAACGACAAATGTGAGCAGGTTCGTAATGATTATGTAGTTTTGTATTTGTGTTCAATTATTTAAGTCAAGACCACTTCTTAGGATGTAAATATAATCATGAATATCATTTACAATAATCTATACTATAATAAAACTCTAACACGACGAATTCTGTGTATTGAATATTTTTATGAAATTTGAATTGGGATACACTTTTTTATCGATTACAATTTTTTTGGAGACGTTGTCTGTCTGCCTGTCTGCACAAGTATCACGCAAAAACGTACCAACAGATTTGGATGAGACTTTCACTACAGTGTTATGTGAGGGTTTAGCCGATAGAATAAATTTATATTATCACGCTATGTATTATAGGAACTGCGCAGTCAGCATAATGTTCCCTTTGCAGCTACAAAAAGTTTTAAAATTTACATTGTCGTGGGATTTAAAAATTACATTGTCTGATTTTGAGTTGTTCTTATATTATTCGTACCCATTATTTGTTAAATATCGTAGTTAATATTTTAGTAATCACTTTTATAAGTGTAAGTTTTTAGTATCTACTTCACTACTACCTAGATTGCACTATATGTATTTTAAAGCACTTTTATTTTACAAAAGATTTTTTTTCGTTTCCAAAAAATAGCGTTTATTAAAATGTTTATACGAGAAAAAATATTTAGATTTAGTTTTGCCATTTACCGACATGTGTCACTGTTCACTACTCTATCCTCTTTATATTTAAAAGAAGATTTTCTGAGTGACCGACTCATCTGCGTTCATACGCACAACACGAAGCGCTTGACGTAGAAATCTGAAATTTGGACTGTAAAACTACCTTATATGATGTAGGCATCCACTAAGAAATGATTGTGAAAAATTTTACCCCCAAGGGAGAAATAGACTGTTACATGAAGAATAATATTCACACGTGGTAAAGCCATGCTGCAGCTATATTAATAGTATAGTTGTAGCACGAATGGGTCGGCTCGACCGGGGAAGGACCACGCTCTCACAGAATACCAGCGTAAAATAGCAACTTAATGCTGCTGTGTTTCGTATGGTGAGTGTAGAGAACCGGAGACCCATTTTACTGGAAAAGAGGCATTCCATCTTAATCCTCACGAGTGACAACGCATCTGCATTTTGATTCGCTAACGAAGATAGATGTAGATGTCTATGGGCAACAGAAATCACTTACCATGAGGTGGACTGCGTGCTCGTTTGTCACCGTTATTCTATAAAAAAAAATTTTTTTCTTCCTTGGCTTGTAATTTCTCACAAAATATTTGAACATTTTACATCCGATCGCTATTTTTTTTCTAATCAACTCCATTTTACAACAAAACAATAAGTGCTCTAGGATAAGGTGAATTAGACATTTTAATAGTTCTTAATTTTTATCTTAAAAAATTCCAATGTCGCAAATAGTTTTCGAGATAATAGTAAAAGTATGTCCATACTTGAACTGTTTGCCCAAAGACCACTATTTTAGAACTACAGGTTTTTTATTTATGTTTACAGGGACGAAGTGGAAAATGAGGGCTAGTGTAATAAATACCAAGCCCATGACTACTCCAAACAACATCATAACAGGTTTGGTTACTTATAGTTTATTATGTCTTCTTACATTTTTATTTTCACGCACAACACGTATGTACATTAAAAATGTTATTGATGGTGATTATAAAAGTGATCATATTTATATTAGATTTTAAACGTTTAAATTTTAGTGGCAATTTATTAACATGACAAAAATTTTTAATTAAATTTATGCACTATTTTGTTTATTGCCTGATGCATAAATAATTACACAAATAAACTTAAAATAAAATATATTTAACAACAATTAACTTGCGAGTAGAATAAAACCACGCTGCGGCTGTTTTTGGCGTTGACTGGTAGAGAATGCCTAAAAGGCATTATGGCTTTGTAATTGGGAATACAATATTGAAAATTAATAAATAAATTAGATATTACGATTTAAGTTGCAGCACGAGTAGGTTGACTCATCCGGGGAAGAACTATATTACTAACATGTGTCACCCTTATTCTAATTAAAAAATAATCGTGTTTGCTAATTGTTTTTACATTATTTAATATTCATAGCAATGGAGAGTATGAAATGAAGCTTATATAGTTACAATTTATTTGTTTTATCCACTTAGTATTTTAACAAAATCAAAAAATAAGAGACGGTTAATGAATATTTATTTTAATAGTAATTATAAAAAATATACGGTCAAGACTATAGGAAGTACAGCAAAATATTTTGAGAATAGTATGACAACTCAAGATGATGCAATAAAATAAAAAAGTAGTTCATGATGAAGAAGATAGAATTAAATATACTGTAACGTGCTTTTAAAGCAATTTAGAGAAACATGAATATAAACCTTTAGAAATACTGTACTTTGTTAAAATGCTATGTAATTCAAAAAGTCCTGTTCTTGTCAGTTTCAAATTATTATTTTTTGGTGCACTCTTCAAGCGGGACACATTTATTGGTCACGGTATCCCTAACAGTAGGAGGAGCGCAGTAGCAAGCAGTAAAGTCACAAATCATTCCACGCGTATCTGGTTGGGGATTTGGTTCATCGCAAGTTGCCTCCTTTGTCAAATAATCACATCCAGTAGTATAAGCTTGAGTACCCTCCTCACATTCTCTAGAACCTGCAAATCAATAAAATTGAATTAAATCACTATTAACATGCTAAAAATAAATAAATGATGTAGAAGTGCGGTCATTTAGGAGTATGATGACTGAATCTGAATGACAGGGTGAGAAATAGTGTGATAAGAGAAAAGTGTGGTTTGCAAGATGACGTTGTGACCAGGATTAAGAAAGGAATGCTTCGGTGGTTTGGTCATGTAGAAAGAATGAACGAGGAAAGAGTAAAAAAGCAAATTTATGATGCAGAAGTGAACGGCAGGATCGGGAAGGGATGCCCTAGACGAAGGTTTATCGACCAAATCGGCGATACATTGAAAATGGACCAGATTAGGAGTACCCTTAACCGACGAGCGTGTATGCGTAGATATATGGATGTGAAGGAGGCGAGAGAGGTGTGTCAGGATCGCGCCAAATGGAAGTCCGTAGTCTCTGCCTACCCCTCTGGGTGACAGGCGTGAGTGTTTGTATTTTATTTTTATTTATCATGCTGCTTTAGGCAACAGATCACCCTCTTTAATTTTAAAAGGATCATCTATTACTCTTAAATTAATTAACAAGTAGCAGGTTAATTTGTCCATCGAGCGTGAATGAGGTGAAGCGAGAGGGGTCTATCGAAGTAGGTTTTGCTATTTTGCTAGATAAAAATATATTATTCATTTAAATAGATGATAATGACGCTGAAATCCACGATAGAAGTCACGCTAGCCTCACACTAGCCGTTAAGAGAGTAAGAGTGTAACTAGCCAATCCATTGCTGTGCGCAATAAAAACGAAGTTTGCTTTTTTTTCGAGTAGAAGGAAGGACTTTCAATAAAAATTCAAAATCATAGAGTATACAAAAGTTCAAAATCAAATTTAAATTAATTTATTTGTGAATACAGGTAATGAGATAGAATAGATCTTTAAAAAAATTATGTTCGCTGCATTCAATCCTTGGGTATACAAATGGTTTGGTTACAATGAAATCTTCTACATTTCTATAATTACATTTTTGATTACGTTATTTATATTATAATTATATAAGAATGCTCAAAAATGATGTGATTATTAATTATAATTGGATATTAACAATAAAAAGTGTAAATAAATGTCAAAAACAATGCAATATCATTAAAATATACCTACTGATGCGTCGCTTAAATATTCGTTAATTGAGTAAAAGCATTTCTCATTTAGAAATGTATTAAATTATTTTTTAAATTTGTGAATATTTTCCATTTCATGAAACATACATGGAACCTTATTGTAGATTTTAGATAAGATACCGAAAACGTTTTTTCTAAGTAAAACTGTCTGTGGTCAAATTGTATGGATTTTATATTTACTTCGATTATTGTTTGTTATTAAGTAATCATTAAATATTTTAGGATTAGTTCATAAACTTCATAAATATACAGTGCGGGAAATGTAAATATTTTTAATTTTTTAAATTGTGGTTTACTTTCTGTATCCCGTATATTTGCAACAGCACGCACACACTTTTTTGCGCTTTAAATATATCTTAGCGCTTTATAGTATTGCCTCAAAAAAATTACAGCTTAGCGTAAAGTAGTAGCTATAAAGCCGTGACATACCGTCCGTAAAGCATCTTCTTAAACTACATATTCACGTAAAGCGTAAGAAAATTGATTTTACTTTTTGCAAATATATATTATGTATGAGTCTCCCACTTTAAGTTATTATAGATATATACGTTGATCTAAGCATTTTGTTACCTTTGGTTTCATTAAAGGTTTTACTAACGGTCTCACTATCGTAATTAATGTTAAGTAAATCAAGGGGCCATTCTCGTTGATAGAAATTCATTATGAGTCTTTTATTCAGAATGAGCCTTTTTTAAGTCTATTATTACGTTATTTGACTTAAGCCCGCTAATTGTATTCTGCAGGTTGTTATTAATTTCAATTTCTTATTTTTTTATATCTGTACATGTAAACATCATAGATCTATAATCTGCAAATATAGTCATAGGAAAGTTTACTCTGATAGGTAAGTCGTTAATATATATTAAAAATAATAAAGGATCAAGTACTCTTCCTTGAGGAACACTAAAATTTGAGGATCGAGGACAAGACCATATTTGCTACACTTCTCCGAAGCAAAAAATATAATAATTAAAAACATCCTAACTTCAAAAGACAAGATGGCTGGGTGCTACCATCTACTTGGGAAACCATAATTAATAAAATCCAAACCCAACTACTGTGAGAATTCAAGATACTGTAAACTCGTCCTGCGTAGATTGGACTAAGTATTATTTGTTAAAAGTTGATCGTAGTCTTCGTAAACTATGACTCCCCCCCCCCCCCTTCACCGTCTCAATGGATTCTTTTAAGTGCCCGCAACGTCAGGAATTAAAAAAATTAAAATTAAACACGATAAAATCCTTAAGATCACTTTTATTGCAAATGAAGTTCTATTCGCAGTGAACGTGGGTAGAACTACACTCATGATCGGTAGCAGAAAAATGTGCGCGTTGTTGAAGCGGCGAAGGAGAATCCGCCACCTCATATCGTTCCGTGTGTGTCCTAAGAGGTGATAGAGAAAAAAAACAGGAGATGGGCAACATCCTACTGACAACAGTTCAAAATAATAAATGCTGAGGATGCCAACCCGCCTGCCAAGCGTGGCAATTATAGCAAATATCCAGCCTATTTGATAATTTATGGGGGAGTTCCATGTTTAGTTCAGTGGACTTTTGATAGGTTGTAATAATCTTTCGAATCTTTGTTACTGTTAATACTTACGGTAGTGTGAAAACAAAAAAGTGACATCTCCGAAAATATGAATGAAATAAAAACAGCATAATTGCTCCATTAAAACTTCAAAAAATAGCAGCCTACATACATGTCACACACAGGCCACAGAGCTTTTGGATAAAAAAGTGCTAACGCGCGATCACCGCAAATGGGGAACTTCTCAGATATTTAGGTTTTCTTTCACCGCAGAGAACGTGGTAAATCGACACTTAAAATTGCAATTAACATATATGTAAAAATATATAATAATGTTTATATACTAGGAAATTTACGTTTGTATCAGTTTCATTACCGCCTTGGACAATCAAAGTAAAATAAACTAATCTTTGATATTTAAAGTATTTTTTCGCAACCAAAGTGCCCTTTGATACTACTGATCTCGAGGAACTTTTACCATTGATAAACAATTTTAGAGTTCTGTTATTTGAATATGAAATAATAACTCTAAGCGCAATATTTTTAACACATTAATATTGTAGTTTCTTGATTAATGTCTCATGATGAACACGTTCGAAAGCTTTGGAATAATAAAAAAATAACTAAGTGTGTCTAATAACTAAGTTTCGTGAATTTTCCCAGTTATTAAACATATATTTAAAAAGTTGAAGTCTGCAGTATATCAATATGTTCAAGATCGTCCCAACAATTATATCAGATTTAATAGCTAAAAAATTCTCTCAAAAAAACCCCGATTCCTACGAATGATTATTTGCGAGGCTATTGAAATAAAAAAAAACATTCTATTTTCAATAGAGAAAATGGCTGGGTGTTACCATCTGCTTGGGATCGTATAATTAATAAAACTAAATCCAAGCCCAACTGAAAGCTCGTTCTGCACAGATCGGACCAAATTTATTAAAAGTTGAAAGAAGCTTTAATTAACTATCTTATAAGGACATTAAACACCTTAGTACCCTCCCCCGTGACCATAAGTGAAGGTAAAGCGCCTGAAACGTCGGGAATCATAAAGTTAAAATTAAACGCGATAAAGTACGTAAACTTAGTTTTAATCTGTTACATTGTATTTGCTAATATACAAACTTTTTGATTTCAACAACAGGATATTTCAGTATAAAGTATATTCTACTGACAAAAATTTGACGAATGTTGTCGTCTAATTAATCCCCTCAATCGTGTAGTAGCGATGGTAGAATATCCGCTACCTCATATCGTCCCATGGGAGTCGTGAGAGGCAACGGAGGGAAACAAACCAGGCGATTGGCGGCAACTTCTTCCTAATTACAAGTAGCAAATAATAAACTGCGGTTGCCAACCCACTGGCAATCAACTGCTGAACGTAGGCGTTTTCCATATATTGCCTCATAGGGGATATTTTCCGTAGTTGCCACGCTTGGCAAAAGAATTAGCAACCACAGTTTTGTTTTGATTTTTGAGTTGATATTAGGAAGACGCTGCTGCTCACCTTCTCTGTCATCTCTTATAACACCTAAGGGACGTTATGGTGTAATATCCCACAAAGTGGACTTCACAGGCTGTAGCTAATTAAAATTAAATAAGAATTAGGCCTCGTGCTTAATGGTTAATCAGTCGAACAGGATTTAGTGTAGTGTCTTTTAGTTCTTTGATTAGTCACTGTGCATTATTTAAATAAATTATATTAAAGATTAAAAAAACCTATTGTCCACCTAATAAAATAAAATAGAGAGCTTACAGATCACCTCTTAAAACCAGATAAGTCAGCTCTGTAAACTAAATAAGTCTTATCTTCAAATTAGGTAGAAGATCCATAAATGTTCCCTCGGTTTTAGATCCTCGTGGAATATTTAGAGACAATGGTAAGAGACCCGACGGTATGACATTGGTCTCTTGGGAGAGAGGTAAAGCCCTTCTTGCGTAGACACTTCGGCAGCCTCTCATCTCAGGAGTAACTTGTTTAGAGCCGTGCTCGGCATCAGAGCAGATGAACTAAGTAAGTGGAGTAAATACGAGTTTCTGGGAGATGATTAGATATTTGTACCACTTGTTATGGAGACTATCGGTCCGTGGGGTCCATGTGCAGTGATGTTCCCAAAAGAACTAGTCGTCGATCGTCGTCGACTATTAGTCGTCGATGCTAGTGATAAGAGGGCTGGTTCTTTTCTCTCTTAAATGCTAAGTATCGCTTTTCAGCGAGGAAACGCAGCCGAGGTTTTTGGTACGAGTACAACACCACAGGGAGTAGGACTGTATGATAATTAAAATTTTTAGTATTAGTTTTCTTTTACTACTTATAGTTTTGAATGTTGTATATATTTAAATTATACTTAGCTTATTAATTTTGAAAATTTTTAATCTAATGGATGCCCGCAAAGTAACTCCTGATTCTATTATTTTCTAAACAAGTTGTACTTAAGTGAGATCAAGTTATTTATGTTGAATTAACCTTAATTATACATTATACATAATAAAATTGGCACATTTCCGTACAAATTTATTTGAACAGGTAACTATATAATTGAAAAATAATATTATTAGACAAGGAAACTTGTGAGATTTATACGTAATAATATATATTCTTTGCCTATACTTATCGAAAACTTGAATAACAAGTTTTATAGCGCTTCTGTTATTTTGTTATTGATATTCCGATTTATATTGAGGATTGAAAAATTTGCGTCTACTAATTTTACTGTCAGAATTCAAAATGATTTTCTAATTCAAAATCAGTTGCTGTGTACTAGCAGCGTAATAGAGTCCACTGCCCCATATCATCCCATGAGTTTCGTAAGAGACGACAGTCGAAAAACTAAGCCAGGAAATGAGTAGCAGCACCTTTATATAAAAAGAGAATGTTATGGAACAAAACAATAAAAAACATTGCAGTCGCCGGGTTGGCGACTATATAACTGGTGGTAACTATATCCTATAAACCCCAATGAGTCTTAGGGGTTCCTATGTGCAGTAGGACTAGACTTGTGATGAGCTGTGAAATCAGTACTATGTATCTTTACATTACATAAAATTTAACCTAATTACAGTTTAATGCGACTTGTTTTTTTCTAACTGTCCGTCCAGATTACGCTCTAACGTAATCCTCCCATCGAGCAGCAATATACTTCCTGTTGTTTGTGGAATTAGAAGGCAATAGAGTCAATCATCATCACCAATACAGCGATTCACAAGTTCCCTGCGTAACATATGTCTGCCCCAAGGAATGCCACAAAGCAAATATTAATACTGTATTATTTGGTTAAAGTTAGTTGCAGGTCTACATGGATTTTGGTAGTCAAGTACGCTTACGTGAATGTCTAGTGATCGAAAGCGCGACCCCTTAACATGTGGTCCGGGGTTCGAATTCCGGACAGCACGTAAAGCTGTTGGTCCTGCGCTAGATCTCTCTCCGGTCGTATCGGATTACCGTCCCATCGGACTATGAGAGTGAGAGAATAGAGAGTGCTCATATGCATGCACTTGTGCACTATAAACATGCGCAGACGGTTAGCCTCCTTAGACACTGGCTGGTGTGACCGAAATACGATTTAAAGGACGTAACATTAGCCAGACTGCTTGTCAGTTATTAAGAGAAATATATTTTCTATAACATTTGGTCTTCCTCGCCTTATAATATTTTGCTTATATTATTGAATAACAATTTTATTCCAAGAATTATTAATTTATTTATCTTAGGGACGATTTTTTAATCGTCAGATAAAATAATATATATATATATATATATATATATATATATATATATATATATATATATATATAAAGTTATTCAAAAGTCAGATAATATATACGGAAGAGTGTAAAGAATCAGAGACCCCTTAACTGGAAACTATTTAGTCCTCAGGGATAACAGCGCATCTGCATTTTGATTTTTAATTGAGGATAAACGTATATTTCTAAGGGTCACATCATCCATTATCATTTATGTGCTCGTTTGTCACCCTTAGTCTATAAAAAAAGTTATTCATAAGATAAGTAACAACCCAACCAAAATAATAATATTACAGAGTCATTGATAATAGTAGTTTCTCTGCGTGATAAACTTAGAAATGAGGATATCCGCAGTAGAACCAGAGTGATTAGTAAGCTGAAGTGACAATAGGCCGGCCATATAGCTCGAAGAACCGACAACCGATGAGACAAAAAAGTTCTCGAGTGGCGGTCTCGTACCCGCGGCCGAAGTGTAGGGCGTCCCCCCAATAAATGGAGTGACCACCTGGTAAGACATGGAGGAAGTCAATGGATGCAGGTGGCTCAGGACCGTTTTTTGTGGCATTCCTTGGGGGAGGCCTATGTTCAGCAGTGGACTTGTGAAGGGCTGTAACGATGATGATGATAAAATAGCTCCATTGTTTGAATTTTATATTTAGTCAGGTTGTGATTTATTTGATGTTTTACTTTTATCCCAGATTTTAAAAAAGGCCCTTTTACGTTCGAAATATTTGTATGTCAGTGACAGTAGATTAGAAGAATGAAAGATATACATAGATTATTTTTATATATTTACGGTATTTACTCATAAAAATCGACTTCAATTTTACAAATGCTTACAGCTGCTCTTACCCTTTTCATTAAATGAAAACGGAAGTAAACAGGTCTGATAATTAACATTGAATTTAACCCTTTGCCTGTCTCGTGCATAACATGTAATTCGTTGCTATTGGCTTACTATTGTGTCTGCAAACTGGACAGTCAAAGTGCTAAGTAAGCGATATTTAACGATTATTTGTAAAGTTGTAAAACTTTAGATACTTAAGTATAAATAAATGGCCTTCATTATAAATAAATGGAACTTACACTTTCCATCAATATAAATACAGCCACGGGGATACAAGATTTCTTCAGCACACACCATACTGATTATAACAGACAAGAAAGCAAAACTCACAAGCGACTTCATTTTAGGAAAACTAACGACTTAATTCTATAGTTTAAAACGCGATAATGATTCCGGAAACGTGTTCTTCGATGTTTTATTACTTAGGTTATGAGTAATTCTATAAAACAGAAAAGAATAAAATAGAATATAATTGAATATTTTTCTATTCAATATAGATCACATGTGTAATTCTTATTGAAAGTCATTTTTTACTTTACCACTGATTCGGTAAAGAAACCTCTGTCCTGGGAAGAACCAGCAAAGAACCCAGCGGTACTTTTTTTTTAAATAAATTTTACATGAATTGGTGTCCTACTAAACTATATACAAAATTTATTTTAGAAACAGATTGGAAGCGACCACCTTCATCCATGTATTCACTGATATTATAATAACCATTTTTATACAGTTTTTGTCTAATAAAATATTTAACCTTTTATATTTTCTGGGACTTTTTTGTAATAGCTTATACACTGACCCACGAATGAATTACTGACTTTGCGGAGTCGAGAAACTGGTATCAATAGTTTGTGTTTGTCCCTAGTGTTTACAGAGCGTATATCACTTTTTTTTAATAACACTACCTTTGTTTTTGTGAACATACATTAAATTTTAATAAATATAATAAAATACCAAAGACAATAATATATATAATAATAATAATAAAGTGTGCGGTCCTCCATGTTGAAAGGGGAAGGGTTGCTAACTCTGAGGGCATAGATTTATCTATGCCCATCAACATAAGGACCCTTTCCGAGGCTGAAACATACCGATACCTGGGTATGTCACAGAACATCGGTGTAGATGAGGCGGGTATGAAACAGTCAGTTTGCGATGTGTTTTATGCACGCTTGACCAAAGTGCTTAACAGCCTTTTGTCCGGTGTGAATAAGACGCACGCATATAACGGTTGGGTCATGTCTTTACTCATGTATACCTTTGGCATACTTAGGTGGACTCAGACCGAAATAAACGCTCTGGACAGAAAAGTCCGCACTATAATGACGTCCCACAGGATGCATCATCCGAGATCGTCAGTAATGAGGCTGTACTTGCCGCGGAAGCATGGTGGGCGCGGCTTTTTAAGCGCCCTTACCATGCATAATCGCGAAGTGTGCAGCCTCCCTAATTACTTTCTGACGAGAGCGGATAATCCATACTATAGGGACGTTATTTTTTGTGATAAAGGACTTACCCCTCTATCCTTAGCCAACGAGTAATGGCGGGACCCGGCAGTACAGAGCATTTCCGACCGGGAGACCATATGGAAGGAGAAGGAGATCCAAGGGAGGTTCTACAAGGCTCTACACGAGCCTTTCGTAGACACAGTCGCCTCCCTCCACTGGCTACGTTTCGGTGACCTCTTTGGGGAAACCGAGGGTTTTATCTGTGCGATACAGGACCAGGTTATTAAGACGACCAATTATCGGAGATACATCCTAAAGGATGGCACCGTCGACGTCTGTCGAGCTTGTCGCCATCCCGGTGAGTCACTTAGGCATGTCATCTCCGGTTGTTCGGCGCTTTCTAACTCTGAGTATTTGCACAGACACAACTTAGTAGCCAGGATTCTACACCAGGAGCTCGCTCTGAAATACGGTCTCGTGGATCGGAAACTGCCTTATTATAAGTACTTGCCGCAAGCCGTACTCGAAAATGACCGCGCCAGGCTCTACTGGGACCGGGCCATCATCACAGACAGGACTATTCTTGCGAATAAGCCTGATATTGTGCTGATGGATCGGGCACGGTCAAGGATATTTTTGGTCGACATTACCATTGCTTATGACGATAACCTCGTGAAAGCCGAAACAGATAAGCTGACAAAATATCTGGACCTGGCTCACGAGGTGACCGACATGTGGGGTGGACTGCCGGCCGAAATTACACCTGTAGTCGTCTCTGCGAATGGGTTAATTCCAATCAGCCTCTCGGGTCATCTGAGGCGACTGGGACTCCGTGACGGACCGCTCCAAGCTCAAATGCAGAAGGCGGTGCTTCTCGATACCGCCCGCATCGTCCGCCGGTTTCTTTCCCTTTCCCCCTAACCCTCGGCCGTTTGGTCTCCCCTGCCGAGGGCTTCCATCTGGTTGGGTTTTTATATATTTATGTATTTTTTATGTATTTATTTTATTTTATTGATATTTATGTACGTTTACCATGATTATTTACAATTATATATTTATATTTACCAATCAGATGAGAAAACTATATAGATACCACAAAATAATAATAATATTTATTGGTCTTATAGTTGAGACCTCCTTTTAAGTATTTAAAATACTTGTGCTAGAAGGTCACACGCTACCATAGCTTTATATTGTAAGCCTATTACCAATAATTATAAGCTTATTACCAATAATTAATATCGTCTTAAATAATGAAAAAAATAATCTTAATAATAAATAATTTGTCATAAAGTTTGATGTTTCGCGCGCGCGCATGTTTGTGTGTGTGTGTGTGTGTGCGTGCGTGCGCGTGTGTGTGTGTGTGTGTGCGTGCGTGCGCTTGTGTGTGTGTGTGTGTGTGTGTGTGTGTGCGCGTGTGTGTGTGTGTGTGTGTGTGTGTGTATGTGTGTGTGTGTGCTTGTGTGTTTCTGCACTCTTTATCAAATAATTTAATATAGTAAATCCTCAATTTCTTCATAATTTAAGGCTTTAAGCCAAAGAATTAATTAGATTAGCATTAGCAAAATCCCATGAGACATTATGCTATGAAAATAACTGAATTAAACTAATCTAGCTATCTAAATACTAGTGACAACTGTAATCCTTTTTAAAGCATAAGCTGCAGAACTTAGTCTGCTTGCTAGTTTGGATACATGGAGGTCCCACTGAAGCTTTGCGTCAACAGTGATGCCAAGAAAAACAGTGGATTCAACTGGGCTCAGTTCTTCCCCATTTAAAACACATTGGTATTCAGATTTTTAACATTTGGTGTTGTAAATTTAGAACATGTGGTTTTATTTCCGTTTAAATGTAGATTATTAACGTTAAACCAATGCACTAATTTTGATATAGAATTATTCACTTCGTCACATTTAAATGATTGACGTTTAAGCTTAAAAATCAAGAAAGTGCCATCAGCAAATAATACTATATCATGATTATCTACTACAAGGGAATTTAAGTCATTAATATACACTAGAAATAAGATTGAGCCGAGAATTGAGCCTTGGAGTGCACCCATTAGTACAGGTGACCCGGAAGACTTATGCCATTAATAATGACTTTCTGCATTCTATTATTTAAATATAAAATAATACTTTACCTTGTTTTGTTACTACTTTAGCTTACTGATTAATGCCTCATGGTAAACACAGTCAGATGTTGCCTGTTTCACTATAAATTTTTCTCCACGTCAGTTTAATTTTATTGCATTCAGCTTTAATTTTGTTACTTAAATATAAAGCATTAGCTGTGGAGCACACTTTTATAAATATTTTTGAATATGTTTTTACATATTTCTAAATCTATCACTACTATTATATGATCTTTCATTATAAAGCTCGTATAACCTTTGCTTACTTTTATAAATTCCTACTGTCGCCCATTCATTAAATGTTTTGCGACTGTTAAAAGAGAAAGTTTTAGAAGTAAATATTCTACTAAATTCACATCTTATAATTTTAAATAACGCACTGTTTGCGCTAAATGTTAATTTTTAAAACTGCATTACGAGCGCTCGCGTCCATGGTAACAGGAGTTGCTGCCGGGCCTCTCTTCCCCGCGCGCGTTCCCCCCGCTCACGCCCGGTCACGTATTGTGGTCACGTGATGTGGCGATTAACGGGACTGGTTTTGCCGAGGCATCGAGCGCCACGACAGTAGCTGGACGCGCGGGCCATCGTATATTCTTGTTTGCGACCGTTAGTAGGTTGCGCGCAGCCGGTGCTTTGATTTGAAAATTTGGGTTAATTGTGCGCGTAGTTTTGAAATTTACTAACGAATATTTGGATTGACATTACTTACTGTCGTTTTGCTCGCGCCGCGTGCAAAAGGAAGCCTCTAATTCGTGTCGTTTTTGTTAGTACGTTTACGTAACGACAAGGCGTTTGTTCTTAAATTTGAGTGATTAAAAGTAACTTCGTTTGCAAGTAATTTACGTAAATTTGTATAGTGATTGCATGTTGAAGTGCATTTTGCAATAATTAATTTGCTTGTGTGACGTGGAACCGTGTGCGCACGCCTAGTGGACAGACGGCCTGAAATTTGATGCTCGCATTCCATTTCGAGGGCGTGGGTTTTTGGAAGTTAATGTTAAATTGTAACGTCGCGTTAAGTGCCTTTTTGTGTGTTGACTATTTTCAATTTTAGCTTGTCGTGTGGAAAGCTGAACTTTGAGACTCGAGAAGAGGCCGCGTTCGTTCCCGTGTTTGTAAATTTTTTTAGTTTTAGTTTTCATTGACATCTTGTATATTACCGATACTAGAATCTATTTTTGATATCGAATCTACTTCATCGATGTTATCATTAGCTATATCGCTTTTCTTCTGTTTTGATGGTTCTGTGAAAACGTTCTCTAAGTTCACTTCTCTATTCGGAGTAGTCGGTAGGGATTTGGTGTAGTCTTGGATGTAGTCAAAAAGCTTCTTTCCGGGTGCATAAGATAATATTAGAAATATTAAATTGCTTGTCTCTATGTACGGGAACCCGGAACATTCAATATTGAACTTTGAATGACGGTTTGTTACTTGTGTCGTGTGTCACTTGTTTTAATTTCGATGAACGTTGAGTTGGTTGACTTAGAAGTTAATTAAATGTACAATAAAGTTGATTAATTGAAATAGTGAAAAGAAGGCAGTAGTTTTCAATTGGTGATCTACGACTGGAGGGAGCGCACATTTGGAGAGCAGCAGCGCCTGTGGATCTTCTCTCCGATTACATCGGACCGTCAGGTTACATGTATATACACTTTCGCACACCACTTTACATACACCTCACTTATCACCTGACTGGTACCCTGTGGTCAACCCTACCTCCGGAGATTGGTAAGTGCTTGCTTATTTGTCAGCCGTTTTTG